ACTCAGACAAACAATGAATACAGAGTACCTACATTTAAAATAAAAATTAGAATTTGGGTAATTGACTTTCTTCCTTTAGGCATACTAAGACACATTTATTAGTGTTAACCCCTAAGGACACATGACATGTGTGACATGTCATGATTCCCTTTTATTCCAGAAGTTCGGTCCTTAAGGGGTTAAATAAAGCTTAGCATTTTCACAGATTTAATACTTAATGATTTATTAACTTGTTTTAATGTAAAGTCTGTCTTTATTAAGGAGCCCAGAATATGTGTGATTGTTGGCAGACAATTAATGCTCATAAACACCGAAAATGACATTTATAAAAATTATACCTGACAGAGAACAAATTAAAATGCCTGATAGGCTAAGTAAAGGTACTAAATGTCACTTGTTTTTCTTGTTGGTGATGATGTAAAGCAAACTATATTTTTATTTTTGTAAGGATGCAGTTATATTTTTTGGAATTCAGTGTTTCCAATACTATAACTTTAGTTAAGGCAATACATTTTACTTTGCTTATGGTGATCATGCTATTATCTATTATAACATGGTTATTTACTAAACTGGTGAACTGACAAGGGAATTGCTATTCTTGCACAGCTCACTCACTTGCCCTGCAGTGAGCTGGAAGCTGGGATATGACATCATCCCGGTATCGGCATCAGCATCAGCATCACTAATAGGTGCACAAGTGGCCGGTGCAGGAAGAGCACAGTGATTCCATCAGAGCAGCAACCACTGGCCACCAGCCCTCCTAGAATAAGGTAGGGAGGCAGGATGGACTTCTTTATTTCTGAATGCTTGTGTGTGAATGTGATTTTTGTGTGTGTATGCGGGTAATTAAATTGTGCAATTTTGGGCAACTCTTCTAAAGAAGGATATTATGACACTAGATAAAGTGCAGAGGCAGGCTACAAAATTGATCAAAGTAATGGAGCATTTTAGTTAAAGAGAGATTAACACATTTAAATGTCCTTAGTTTGGAAAAATGGCACCTCAGAGGGGATATTATAGCATTATACAAATATATTTGGGGCAATACAAATAATTTTCTGGATATCTATTCATAAACAGGACTATACATAGAACACGAGGTCACGCATTTAGACTAGAAGAAAGAAGATTTGGTCTAAGGCAAAGGAAATGTTTTTTTACAGTAAAAACCATAAGGATGTAGAATTCTCTGCCTGAAAATGTGGTATGTGAATGTGTGTCTGTGATTGTATATGTGTAGGTCTGTTTGTGTATGTGTGTGATTATGGGTGTGCTTATGTGTATATATGTATTTAATAACTTGTTTTAATGTAAAGTCTGTCTTTATGGGTGTGCTTATGTGTATGTATGTGTGTCTGTGTGTATGTGTGTCAGTGTGTATGTCTGTGGGTTGGTGATTGTGTGTGTATATCTGTGATTGTATGTATGTCTAATTTTGTTTATAGGTCTCTGATTATGTGTATGTCTGTGATTGCGTGTGTATAGGTCTGTGATTGTATGTGTGTATAAGTCTGTGATTATATGTGTGTGTGTGTGTTTATAAATGTGATGGTGTGTGCATGTGTATATCTTTGGTTATGTGTATGTACATGTCTATGTGTTTACTAGATAGCTCCCTAGTAATCTTAAATATGGCAAGGGCACACATGGATAATACATAAGGGAGTTATATAAAAAAAATGAATATCTCAATTAAGAAAAAAGCTTTTAAAGTTTAATTATATAAATAATTATATCATATATTTTATGTGCAGCCCATGACAATTCTGCTTCGCTCAATGTAGCCCAGGTAAGCCAAGATGTTAGACACCCATGCTTTATCTGGAGCCGAAATGTAGCATGAACTATTCAATAAACCTGCCTGAAAACCATCTCTATGTGCCCAGTCCGTTTTCTTAATTTGTTGCCACAACACAATATATATCTACTAGTGTAGAAGTCTACACCTTGACAAATAATGAAATGATTAAAAATCATATATACATTGGAGAATGCTTAAAGGTCCTTACAGTTAAAAAATCTGAAAGATAAAAGAATTAATAAAAAAATTAAATTATGTTTTGTCTTTCTTACACTTGTAGATATATATTGTGTCGTGAAGCCCTGTTAATGGGACATTGAGAGGTTCTAAACTTCTACAGTGTTACGGTGTCTAAAGGGTAATACTTTTTCATCTATTATCACAGTTTATGTACACTGTCATTTGGGGTGTGTGTATTTATTTTTGTTTTTTAGATTTGAACTTTCCATCGCCAACAATACTAGATTCCTGTTACTATCAAGAGGATCCATATATCTCCCTTCAGGGCTGGCACTTCCTATAGGCGACTTAGGCAGGGGAGAGCTCTAAGGGATGGAAGGGAGAGCTCTAAGGGATGGGGGGTAGGAGAGAGCACTAAGGGACGGGGGTAGGAGAGAGCTCTATGGAACGGGGGGAGAACTTTAAAAGACAGGAGGGGAGAGCACTACAGGAAAGGGGGCAGGGAGATCACTTTAGGGGGGAGGAGGGCATGAGAGAGGAGAGACCAATAAGGGATGGGAGAGAAGAGACCAATAACATCACACACTTAATGCACACCTTACAGACACACACTGCATCCCTTACACATACAAGCACAGATTCACACAATGCATCCCTTACACACATCCAGAAACACACAATACATCCCTTGTACACAAACACACACTGCTTTCTATCCCTTACACAACAACACACTGCATCCACTACACACACACACTGCATCACCTACACAAACTGGTATCCCTATATACTACATTCCATAAGCACACAATTTAGATCCTCTACAAAAACACTTAACACATCCCCTACACATTCCACTCCCTGTGAGCAAACTCATGGGTGGAACATGTAGGTGGACTTATGGGTGGGCTTATGGACATACTCACCATCAGACCCTATGGGCCCAGACCTTGAGCTGTGCAAGGGGCCCAAAATAATGGAGATGCTTCATGTTCCCCCAAAACATTGACTTTTGTGACCACAGTTACAAACAGCCACCAGATAGCCTGTTCTACACCAGACCAGTGGAGCCAGACTGCAGCCAGAGCCCATCATCATCCTCATCTGGTTGTAAGTAGGGCGGCAAAAATCCTTCCACCAGCCCTGTCTACCTTAGATGACAGTATGTCATCTGGGCCCAGATCAGTAATCTCACATATGGCAGATCAATGTGGCAGATCAATGTGATGTCACATGGGGGGGGGGGATTTTTATTTTGCCAAGGGTGGCAAAAATCCTTCCACCAGCCCTGTCTACCTTAGATGAGTATGTCATCTGGGTCCAGATTAGTAATCTCACATTGACCAGTTGTATCAGACAAGGCTTGCACCTAGCTACGCAAATCTTTTTATGGCATATTGGGAAAATTGTTTGTTTTCTCTCCACATGGCTGGTGTGCGAACCTGGTCCTCTATAAAAGATATATAGATGACATCTTTTTTATTTGGAAAGGAGATGAAACAAAGGTTTTATCTTTTTTAAACTTTTTAAATAATAATTAATGGAATATTAAATTAACACAGGAAATTAGTAAAGAAAGAATCAATTTTTTGGATTTAGAAATTTACATAGAAAATAATCAAATTAAAACAAAAACATTTTTTTTAAAAAGTAGACGTGAACAGCTACATTCATACAGAAAGTTGTCATCATCAACCATGGTTGGAAAATATTCCGAAAGACAATTTTTAAGGCTGAAACGGAATTGCACTGACCAAGAATCTTTTAATAAACAGGCAGATATCCTCAAAAATCTATTTTTGAATCGGGGATATAGGATGGAACATTTAAATAGCGAAATAAATAAAATTAGAAACTTAGAAATACTCTCCTTAGATATAAACCAAAAAAAGTAGAAATGGATGAAGAAAAAACTATACCATTCATTTTTAATTATAATAAGGATCAAAAACAACTTAAAAGGATTTTAAACAAGAATTGGCATATTCTCCAACAGGATCATGAGATCCAACCTTTTTTTGGAGAACAGACCAAAAGTTGTATTTAGGTGAGCAAAAAACCTAAAAAATATACTTACTTCCAGCTATATAGATGTTCCTAATACTAACTTTTTAGAGTCATTTAAACATAATACACAAGGATTCTTTCACTGTGGTGGCTGTATGGGATGTAAGAATTATAAAAAATTTTTTTTTAAATTCTTTATTTTTCGTTGTGCCTGGGTTAACAAATCTTCCCACATCGTCACAATAAACAAATGCAGGAATAGGCATCTTTCACAATGAAACATATGACATAAGGTGCTAAACATACAAGACTATTACTTTGTTCCATTACGCTGCATCGGCACATTTTTGTGGTTTTTATATTTTAATCTGGACTTAACAAATAAACTGTTAGTCATGTCTCAAGACTCGGGCATTCCTGTCCATGTTCGTCTAGGTGTGAGCCCTTGTAAGGGGTTCACAGTCTGCTGCAGTTGGGCCTAAGTGACCCTTTTGTTAGTATATTGTGCTATCTGTTGTCTATGTACCTGCGTGGCATAGTCTGTTCTCATATATGCGGTTCCCACGCCTTTAGCGGCGCTATGGGAGATAAGTATATATAGAGTGTCCATTAGTGGAGTTGGCGTGTGCTTTCGAGGGTGGGTTATGTTACGTCCCTAACCCTAGGGGACGTCTGGGGGGGGGAGGGGGTGAGTGTAGTCTAGTCAGTGGCTAGCAATCGTTAGGCAGGTCATCTCTAGGAGAGCAACTACCTAGGTGCACAGATATCTCTGGGGGTTCAGTCCGATCGTTATGTGAACCTTTTCAGTTAACGGGTGGAAACAATATTGAAAGCATAAAATAAAATAGGAAGCAATAAAACCATGGTGTTGCAACTTAAGAGAAGGTGGTTCTTTAAGTCCCATCACCCTGACCGTTCCGTGGCGTGAACGGGGTAATGTTATCTATGTCCCAAGTCCCGTTAGTGTCTCTGGCACTCTGCTCTTGCGTGGTGTCATTGATGCCCACTGCTGCTAGGAAGGTGGTGGCTTCCGCCACGTCGGTTGCCTTCAACTGTGTGCCGTTGAGATGTACCGTAAGGGCTCTGGGTGTGGACCATCTGTATGATATGCCAGCTTCTTGTAGTTTTCGCGTGATGGGTTGCATCGTTTTCCGCCATGTCAGTGTGGAACGATGGAGATCTTGGAAAAACGAGATCTTGTGAGTCTCAAAGTCCATTGGTGTCTTGTTGTATGATGCTTTCAATAGGGCATGCTTGTCTTGTCTCGTCCCACAGCATAGGATTATGTCCCTTGGAGCTGTATTCGGCGCCTTGGGGGACCTAGCTATGCGGTAGATTCCGTCGTGCGTGAATTGTTTGGCTTGTTTCGCAGGGAGTAGTTTGAACACCATTCTCCTTATGAAGTGTGGTAATTCCTCAGGGGTGACTGTTTCTGCAACACCTCGTATCTTGATATTTTTCTGGCGTACTCTTTCGTCTATAGCGTCTATTCTCAGCGAGGTTTCCGTGTGTGACCCCTGTAGCTGTTTAACTGTGTCTGTTAATGCCGTTAGCTGCTGTTGCAGGTCAGCCACAGTGGAATCTGTTGCCTGGATATGTGCCTTTACCGCTTGCACTTCTGTGCGCACCGCGGCTATGTCTGCCGCGAATAGTTGTTGGATGCGGTTAAAAAGGTTGTCGATGTCCTGCTTAGTTGCAGGGTCCTGGCTGTTCGAGGTTTGCGTTGTCTGGAGCCCTGTTGGATGTGGCCCTTGTGTGGTGTCACTCACCCCTCCTGTCTCTTTAAGGTCCTGTGCCCCTGTTTCAGCTTGATCCTGCTCCCTGGGCTTTGGTGTGCGTTGTAGCAGCATTCCAATGTCTTGCATGTCTTGTGAGGTGGCTGCTTGGGATTTGTGGGATTTTTTCCCCATTTCTTCAGATTGTTGGGTCTGTTTTTGTAGGGGTTCTGGAGTGAGCCAGTCTAGTTCCCACCAGGCTTCGGAGTTTTGCGGAGCGATTTTCAGGCCGGCCGCGTGGTAGGCCTTGGGTGGTCGGCGTTTGTGTTTGGCGCCCGTATGCTGAAAGAAAGGCATCGGTGTGTGCCTCTCTGTCTCCTGCAGCTGGTGGTACTGCAGGTAAGTCGGTGTGTCGGTGGGTTCGGGAGAAACCCCCGGTTTTGGTTGCCGAGGTCGAGGAGCCCCAAAGATGGCGTCTGTGCTGATCGCCTGTCAAGCCCCGCCCCCCAGAATTATACATTTTTGAATAGAAAAGTAAAATAATTTAAATCCAGAACAGGTATATTATATAATATTGATTCCTTTATCTCCTGTGAATCCAAAAATGTGATTTATTTACTCACGTGTCCTTGTGGATTACAATATATTGGAAAAACATCCAGGTGCCTAAAAACAAGGATACATAGAAACATAGAAACATAGAATGTGACGGCAGATAAGAACCATTCGGCCCATCTAGTCTGCCCAATTTTCTAAATACTTTCATTAGTCCCTAGCCTTATCTTATAGTTAGGATAGCCTTATGCCTATCCCACGCATGCTTAAACTCCTTTACTGTGTTAACCTCTACCACTTCAGCTGGAAGGCTATTCCATGCATCCACTACCCTCTCAGTAAAGTAATACTTCCTGATATTATTTTTAAACCTTTGTCCCTCTAATTTAAGACTATGTCCTCTTGTTGTGGTAGTTTTTCTTCTTTTAAATATAGTCTCCTCCTTTACTGTGTTGATTCCCTTTATATATTTAAATGTTTCTATCATATCCCCCCTGTCTCGTCTTTCCTCCAAGCTATACATGTTAAGATCCTTTAACCTTTCCTGGTAAGTTTTATCCCGCAATCCATGAACCAGTTTAGTAGCCCTTCTCTGAACCCTCTCTAAGGTATCAATATCCTTCTGAAGATACGGTCTCCAGTACTGTGTACAATACTCCAAGTGAGGTCTCACCAGTGTTCTGTACAATGGCATGAGCACTTCCCTCTTTCTACTGCTAATACCTCTCCCTATACAACCAAGCATTCTGCTAGCATTTCCTGCTGCTCTATTACATTGTCTGCCTACCTTTAAGTCATCAGAAATAATCACCCCTAAATCCCTTTCCTCAGATGTTGAGGTTAGGACACTATCAAATATTCTGTACTCTGCCCTTGGGTTTTTACGTCCAAGATGCATTATCTTGCACTTATCCACATTAAATGTCAGTTGCCACAATTCTGACCATTTTTCTAGTTTACCTAAATCATTTGCCATTTGGCTTATCCCTCCTGGAACATCAACCCTGTTACATATCTTAGTATCATCAGCAAAAAGACATACCTTACCATCAAGACCTTCTGCAATATCACTAATAAAAATATTAAAGAGAATGGGTCCAAGTACAGATCCCTGAGGTACCCCACTGGTGACAAGTCCAAGCTTTGAATATATTCCATTAACTACAACCCTCTGTTGCCTGTCACTCAGCCACTGTCTTACCCATTCAACAATATTGGAATCCAAACTTAAAGATTGCAGTTTATTGATAAGCCTTCTATGTGCAACAGTGTCAAAAGCCTTACTGAAATCTAGGTAAGCAATGTCTACTGCACCACCCTGATCTATAATTTTAGTTACCCAATCAAAAATCAATAAGATTAGTTTGGCATGATCTCCCTGAAGTAAACCCATGTTGTCTCTGATCTTGAAATCCATGTGTTTTTAGATGTTCATCAATCCTATCCTTTAACATGGTTTCCATCACTTTCCCCACTACTGAAGTAAGGCTTACTGGCCTATAGTTGCCCGACTCCTCCCTATTACCTTTCTTGTAAATGGGCACAACATTTGCTAACTTCCAATCTTCTGGGACTACTCCTGTTAACAATGATTGGTTAAATAAATCTGTTAATGGTTTTGCTAGTACACCACTAAGCTCTTTTAATAGCTTTGGGTGTATTCCATCAGGTCCCATTATACGTGAGCATAATTACAATATCAGGAGGGTTTTTTTAAAACACAATGTATCTACACATTTTTTAAATTGCCATGGAGGAGATCCCTCTGGACTCCAATATTTGGGGATCCAAAAGGTTGAAACTCATTGGAGAGGAGGATGCCTAGAATCGACATTGAGCCGCTGCGAGATGAAGTGGATATTTAATTTAGACACCTTGATTTTGAGATTGCAGCACTCATTTAAACCTCCCCCTCTTTTTTCACTTTTGGATTATGTTTTTAAATTATTTTAATCTTATTTATATTCTTAATGGAATTTATTTTAATACTTTTTTATATCTTCCTTTTTTATAAGTTTGTTAAATTTGAGAAATATTTTACCTAATCTTTCTTTGCCTCCTCAAGACTCCTATATGAATTTTTTATAAGAAAATTCATAATTTATCTTTTATATGTTTTAGTTATATTTATAATGTTATTTGTTAGGTTACAAGATTACCTATTTTTAATATAAACAGAATCTACTGTAAGAATACTCCCCTCCTCATATTAGATATTATAAGGTTTAAAGTAATGATGTGGATAAATGTCTCTTTTGTATATTAATTTGAAAATATACTGATGTACTATATTGGTTATTTTATGCTATATTAGAAATTTAAATATATATGAACAATTTAATTTTTTTTTAATTTTTCCCACTTTAAACATGGCACCAGTGTGTTTTTGCCAGTAACATGTAGGGGACATTGACAGCCTGGAAGTGACATCATCAACTCGATTGAGAAGATCGAAAGAACAGGAAGTGATATGGGTGGACGGAGTCATGTGATCGGAGTGGAAATCACGTAACGCGGAAGTGACGCGACGTCAGAATCACGTGACCGTAATGAAGGTCACGTGACGCGGAAGTACAGAACGCCGGTAAACGGTGGCAAATTGAACTCCTAGGCTATTTAAAGAGAGGAAGATCATTATGGACGACACACTTTGACAACGACCTGGAGGTCAAAACGCGTTAGTGCTGTGGACTTTTTTACTATATAGTATTTTTATTGTTTTTTTATTTGTATGATGATTTATGCATAGTAAAGTTTATATATTTTAACCCATTGGAGATCCTGAAAATTATCTGAAGGACCAGAAAGGAGTAATCCTGGTAGAGAAAGCTGGAATAAGGTTATTATTCATCTGCTAATGAAGCCAGAGCCAGCTCTATGTGGCTCTGTGTATGTGAGTGACCCAATTCCTTTGAATTGATTATTCCTATTTTATATAACAGTATTATACTATGTATGTTTTTACTGTCTTTATTATAGGATAATCAGGATGTGATTTACTCACTACAGTAAATATACAGTAAAGTATTGTACATGCTATTTGCACCCCCCTATATTCTCTTTTTATCCATGTTTCCATAGCTGTGATTACTTGTTTAAATAATTTCTTAAACAATTACAGTTAGGTTTATTTTTATGATTTTTGGATATAATGGATCATTTTAGAAAACAGTTTTATTAAAACATCACAATTAATACTAAATAGTTAAATGCTTAGAGATTTCAATTTAGATATTAGAATAATTATAAACATTTTATACTTTATAAAAAATATACTTATCTCTGTATGACCCTTTTTAAATCCCAAGTAGAACTTCATAGTGCTCCTTATTATTGAAGATAGTTATAATTAAACCAAGTCAGCTCTCCTGAGTTAGTAATGCATATGCATAGTATTCTTTGAACATCCCTTTTGTGTTGCACTCACTGTTTGATCATGGCAAGGTTAAATCTGCAGAAAAATACTATGCAATATTCAGATTACTAAAATATTCAGACCAGACATAGCGAGCATATTCAAGCTGCTATGTAGAGTTTATTGGGATGTATCCCTCAATGAATTTTGTCTGCACACTGATTGGCCATGTGCATCACATTAAATCAGTCAGAACAAACAAGATGTTCCCATGGATTCTATTCCCATGGTAATAGTATGTAAAATAACAGATTAAATTAGTGTCTTGTAATACCTACACGAGCCTAGGCAAAACACGTGGTATCCCAAAAAGGCAGTCATTGTTGGGGGACAAAATACAGAAATGTTTTGGCTTATACATTAAGCCTTTATCAAATCTGACAAAAACCTTTAGTCTGATAAAGCCTTCATCAAAGCTTGATAAAGGCTCAGTGCACAAGCCAAAATGTTGCTGCACTTTGTTGCCTAATAAAGACTGCCTTTTGGGGATGCTACTTTGTGTGCCTAAACTCTCTCTTCTTTAGAGCAGCAAATATGATCAAAGCTCTTCATTATGGTTAATTTGTAGGTGTGTGATGCTCAGCCCATTTCCTTTACTAGGCAGTAAAGGCTGCTTTTATTGAAGAAAGCACTGAAAGGTTGGAAATCTTTCTTAAGTTTTGTAAGAAGATTGCTGGCCACTTCCACTGTAATGTTAAGGACACCCAGCTCCTGAGAAAGGAAAAGAGGAAGGCAGGCATCAAGCAGCACCATCTCAAACAAGGTGTAGGGACTAGGTGGAACTCCACTTTGGACATTCTGGAGCTCATACTGGATCAGCTGAAGTCAATCCATGACATAGCTTACAATTATTGTTGAACCCTTAGGCAGGAAGAATTATTGGTCAGATAGTGGCAGTTCCAAGGCCTTTCAGGAATGTCACTGACAATCTGAGCCAATATGAGATGCTGCTAGTCTTGGTCAAGCAGCCTTGTTCACCCACCTCTCAAATAATTTCAAAATAGTGGCCAACTACTTGATGATGTAGCCACACTTGTCAAGACGCTCAAGGAGAAACTGACGCATTGGTTCAATGAGCACATGGAGAATTACTCTGAGTTAATGATTGTGGTCATGTGTGACACAAGTATTAAATGCAACAAGGTACTCTGCAATAATTCCTTCAAAACTTGAATGGATACATTGATTGACAGGGTATGTGATTTCAAACATATGATGTTCATGTTGCTTAAGGTAGAAGAAGAGCTAGAGAGCCTGATATTATGGCACCTCTACCTAGCACCACCAGTACTTACCAATCCACTTGAGTAGCTGCTTTTTGAGTCCTTGGATTGTTTGAGGGGACCCACTAAAAAGACTTCAAGGAAAGAAA